TCAACTGGAACAGATGATACTCCTGTTAGGTACCTCCAATGCTTCAAGCCAAAGATGTGGATCTTTTTCTATTGTTTTTAGGTTATTTGTACCAACCCTGTTTTCTCTTTTTTTGTTTTGTTTGTTTAATTAAAAGATTAGTCCAACCAAAGAGTTTTGGCCCTTGATTTCCATTGTATGGTCAATAATAGAACCGAAACTGTTTGGTTACTATCATTCTTCAAAATATCTTCTTTTGTGCTCTGCAGAAGAAAGTCTGCCACAGAGATTTGGAATGACAATGAGTAATTTTTGGGTTAACCATAGGGATGCAATGATACCGCTTTTTCAAAACCGATCCGATACCAAAATTCTGAGTATCGGCCGATACCAGTGCAGTTTTTTTTTTTTAATCAACTAGAATTTCCAGAACTCCAGAATTTCTAGTGTGTTGAACTGATAATCACTCTTTTATGTGTTAATCACAATCTACTTAATACAGACAACTTCATTATAAAGAAAAACAACAAATAATAATAATAAAAATAATAGAGGATAATTCAGCAGTAAAATTTAGTCTAAAAAAATCAAGAGTGCACAATAATTGTATAAAATCTGATCATTTAGTGAAAAAAAACATTTAGTGAGGGAACAAATACAGTGAGGAAAATAAGTATTTGAACACTGTTAGTACCGTGCTATTTTGCAAGTTCTCCCACTTAGAAATCATGGAGGGGTCTGAAATTGTAATCGTAGGTGCACTGGCATTTTATTCAATTAATAAAGATTAATAAGATAATAACCCTGAGCCATCCTAGTTCCCATACACTGATGATTTGATTCGGATTCCTCAGACTTACTTCCTCTGTATGAGAAGAGCGATCTCAGTCTGCACCTTCAGGTACTCCTGTGCCATCTTACAGTGCTGCTCAAACACTGCCATTGATTCTTTGGAGTTTGGACAGGGGGCCAGAGGCTGCAAACAAACACAGATTCATTCATCAAATGTCACCTTTTGGCTAATTAATCTGAAATGCAAAAGTGATATTTATACCAGTCGTGGTCTGAACACCAAAAATATAAAAATGTCTTACTCTCAATTTGCAGCCATGTATTTATAACTAAATTAAACCCTATAAACTGCATAGAAAGGCTGGTAAAACTGTAACCGACTTGATTTAATAAGAGGGCTGTTTTTATACCACAGCACCCTGGAAACAAAACCATCCACACCACAGATTTAGACTAAACAGTTACCATGCACGTGCAGTCATACATCATTGTATTCAATCATTTCACATTTTCAGCTCATTTTTGGTGGACAAAGTCATACCAACATATTCATATTGTATTGGTGTGTACCTGTAACTGATGGTCCAGGGTCAGGTAGGCCATGGGGATGGAGTTATCTGAGCCATTGGTGTCTACAAGAATGAGGAAAACCGTTTTAATAAACATCCAAAAAAAAAAAAAATGAATGGAGGGCTATTCCATCTCTATTTATTCACTGGTTATTTATATTATTTTGATATGAAGAGTGAAGAAGCCCCTCTATGCAGAACAGCAAGTGTGTTTTTTAGTTTGTAGAGTAATGCTGTTATAGTAAACTGTGGTAATCGGCAGAAAGAGAGTGAGAGTAGAGCAATAAATAGCCCAGTCTCATCTCAGTCCAGAGCACTGCCACGGCCAGACAGAAAAGCGTCCTAAATCATTGATGCCGCTTACGTAATGTCTGCAGCTCAGCCTGAGCTGTTAACTGTCACTGATATAGATTTACAAACACACGGAGGACGTGAACTTTGAGGTCACACTAAGGGGAACATCAACAGTGTTCAGAAATATCTTCACAAAAATGTCACAATCTGCAGTGATGTACAGGAGGGCTTAAAAAAAAAGAATCTACTATTATCCCAGCTTATTGGGTTATTGTACATTTAGGGTGTACTCACACTAGGCACAGTTGACTGGCACGATTGTCCCCACTCCCCCTGCACTTAAAGTTCTGGGCCGGAGCACGCTTGCATCATTTACGATGCAACCTCTTGTTTTGAAGAAAACAAAGAAAAGCTCTTTCCCTAATAGATTTATAATTTTTTACTCGATTGTGCTGCACAAATCAGAAGATTATTACGAAGGCTTACAGCTTTACTCGCAAACTACAATTCCTGTTCAAAAATAAGGTGAGAACCAAACCCATTATAAACCTAAAAATACTCCATTTAATTTCATTAATTGAAAAGTGTACTGTCCAAATAGCAATAGAAGGTGTTTGCGGACGTAATGATGACTGTAGCACACACAAGAGTAGCTGTTCCGTGCTCCGGCGCGGTTAGCGATCACACTACATGTGTACCAGGGCTTGAGCCCAACTGAACCATGTCCACCTTGTCAGAGCCCAACTCTTCCAAGCGCACCAGGGACGGTGCAGCAAACCGCATCTGCGCACTAGTCAAACAAACCAGATTTTGGGGGTCAAACGTGCTCGGGCATGGTTCAGATGCCTAGTGTGAGTACACCCTCATACAATACATTTTTTGATGTATGTATGTGTGTATGTGTGCATTTACACCAGTACAATTCTAAGCACAAGTGTGTGATAGTTAGAAGGAAAACTACCTGTCCTGTCTGGCGTAATCATCCTCACACTGGGGCTGGATGATCTGCTGTTGTTTCTGCTATCCTGTGATTGGTCAAACAATATGCCAATTATAAACTTGATAATAAAAGCTCAATTTTGGAATTCTGTGGATGTTTTTGTGGATGTGGATGCTACAGTTCCTCTCATAAAGGGAAAGTATTATCTTAATATTAATTATTACCTCACTTTAAAAAAAAATATATAGCTGTTTACAAATCCTTTATGAACCCTGAGGTCATTTCTTGAAGATCTGACCTGGAATTTAATAATTGCTCTTACACACCCAGGGATATTTGGCAACAATCTTTACAGCTACAAAACGGTTTAAAAGTTTATTCAGCAAGGTTGCACTGAACTGATTAAAGGTGATCAAATCATGTTATTAAAAATGTCTATTTTTGTAACTTTCCATTTATGAGATAATTCTAAAAAAAAAAAAAAAAAAAAAAAATCTAGGTGATAAATAAACCTTTGGTTGAATCTAGACCCACCACAACACCTCAGTTTCCTATTATAAAACAGATCCCTCTTTATTTTATTTGATAAACTATTGTTTTTATAAACTATTGCAGTCTAAAACGTAATTGTGAATACTGTTTGTTGCACCTAAACTCTTCCCAGTTCCTTACATGTCACACCACTTAAGTATGAAATTGAAGCATCTTACCTGACTGGATTCTGTACCAATGGCAGGAAGATCCTGCACTGATCTGCGTCTATGAGGCTCACAGGTCGCTGCAAAAAGAGACGAGACAGAGCAGACATAGAATCTGATAAGTCTTATTGGTAGTGCATGATCTCTCGTCCAAGACTGGAACAAGAGGGTTGTGACACCCAGACAGCTGCACTGATTAAATCCCCAACTCACTACCATGACAGAATCTCCTCTAACGTGGCCGTCACGTGACCAAACCCCTCACAAGGCCATCGCAACTCACACACACTACACCAAACAGAGTACACCACACCTACAGAGTAACACAGGCTGCTTGGCCTGCATTGATTGGACAGCTCCTATCATGGTTTGATGAATGTTTTTGGGATTTTGGGAGTTGATTATAGTGTATTTATGTCAAATGAAGCAGTAATAATGATAGGAGCTGTAATCTTTTAAAAGACAACACACATTTACTAAAGAAAGCCTATTAACAAACACTCACACAAATCACTTTATAGACAGACTATATATATAAGGTGAAGCATCTAGAATAGCGCTAGCAGAAATTAAATGCAACCATTACCGATAGACTGGGATTTACTAAATATGATGTACTATATATGTTTGGAATATTACAGGTTAATACGAATTAAGCTCTATGAACATTATCTGTGGCAGACAATAGTAAAAATACACTTAAAGACTTAAAGTCTGTAATGAGAAAATAAAGCAAATAAAATGTAAAATAGAAACTGTTTTGCTGTTTTGAAAGCATAGTCTAACAATTTAACTGAACAGGTGTGACGGAATTGCAAACTACCCTGTGGTTTATGCAAAGTCGCATTCAATATATTATCTCATGTTATGCCTGGCTAAAAACAGTAAACCTGATTACATTCACTTGAAATCCCTCTGAGGATATATGGAAGGAATGTGACATAACTATTTGTAAAGCAAAACTCCAACCAAAGCAGTTATGTTGGTAACATAACCATTTAGACAAGTAGCCCTACCTCAAAATTTTACTTAAATTGCAATAAAGTAAACAAATATTTTAATTTAAAAAATAAAAAAGGCTGCCAGTTTCTACAAGGCGTCCATTGTACGTTTACCACTGTAAATGCATTTTAAAACCTGAAAGACGAGTCAAAATTATTGTCTGTAGACACCAGCTGCATGCCACAGATACTGTTCATAGATCCTAATTTGCATTTAACAAATTATATTCCTTTAATAATGTCTATGTAATCTTATAAGACGAAATCAGCCTTCAAGTATATAATGAAAAAAAAAAAGAATGTTACAACAAAAATGGTAGAAAAACTCCCCAATACTACTACTATGATGAATATGACCCTAACTCTTTTTACTAATAATGATAGTCACTGATGAGGTCAATTTCATGTCAAAATGATTAAGAGAATAATAAAAATGATTGACAGGCTAACAGCATGCATGCAGGAGGGATACAATTCAAATGCCAATCAAATTTTCTCATTGTTACACCAAATTAATAACCTCTTCATCATGCAACTCCCGCTTTTAACTTTTTTTTCCCACTCTGCAATCCTTCAATTTCTCCATTTCCTTCAACATTATTAGGGATGATGATGATGATAATAATAGCGATGACCCTAAATGTGAAGGAGATGTATCGCAACCACTGAATTAATGAACAAGTTAATGAACTTGTGTGTATGGAGGAGGGAAGATCAAAAAGCCGAATTTGGCGACATCCTTTCTGCAGGCGAAACAAGCACGAGCTAGTGTACGACCACTGAGAAAAAGAGAGGGAGAGAGAAAGAGAGACACACAAACACACATGCTGGCAGATCTTCTTTTACCTGCTACAAAGCCAAACGGGAAGACTGAGGGACGGCATATCAATCCACATCCCCATCTCCACCCTCATTCACCACGCATGCTTTACATCACTGCTTATGGGATTTTCTTGATTACTTTTTTAACAGAATATATAAAAGGTGCCTCTGATGGTCAGAGGCAGATATGAGGATGGGGCGTGAAATTCATCACTTGCAGGACACCACAATCAAAAAAGCATAGAGAGATGAGCAGGAGAGAGAAAAACTAAAGATTGTAATGGGTGTTACTCCAGGATCACTAACCACCGTCAAAACTGACACAAAAATGTTTTGGAGGGGGGTTGAAACTAGCTGAAAATATTACCTGGAAATAAGATTAATAAACTGATTAACTCTGGATTTAAAATAATGACAGAGTGAATCAAACACAGATCAAATAATCATCTAGAGCAGGGGTCACCAACCTTTTATCGCAAGTTATTTTTTGAAGTACTTCATTACTGGTCTATTTTCCAGCATGAACAAATAAGACTCATTAATAACTTATTTGATGTTTTCTAGTAAGTTGTGAAGACTGCATATCGACCTTTTAAAATAATAATAATAATTAAAGCTGCAAGCAGCGATGAAAAGGGCCCTCGCACCCGTGCCGCCGCCACCCGGCGGTTTTAGGAAGACAGAGCACGGTGGGCAGTATGTAATGATAATAAATATAGGAGGACTATGTCATGTCATTTATATTTGCTACACTTCCTGCTACCAACAGGTGGCGCTATTGTTATAACCAAATATGAGCATGGTCATGTGTTCAGGACAGGACTCTTATCAAACATGTGAAGTTTGGGACAGATCGGACATTGTATACCTGAGTTATGCTGCGTTCCAGGCAACCTGTATTTGGCGAGTGGATAGTACCATGGATAACCTTCCGAAGGCGACAGTCGTGTACTTTAACGTGTGAGAAGGGGTACGTCGCACCACAGACGCAAGACACTAACATGAGACTCCAACGCCGTCGCATCACAGACACGTGACACTAAGGTGTGACTCCAACAATACAGATTAGTTAAGAACTACTTTATACGTGGGTTCTTTAGGGACATAATCTGAGATTGCAATGCTGGAATGTGTGTGAGAGAGAGAGAGTGAGAGTCGCAGGCGTGATCGAACAGTGGAAACAATGCTGTTTTGTAATGTTTTTAATACCTCATCATTTTATGCCAGCTCGCCAGGCTTAACCTCCGTCGTTGTTCAGACAAAAGCTTAGTCTTCTCACATTCATGGAGTCTAATGACGGGTATACTGTAAAATCCCAATTTAACTGAACCTCCGGCACGATTTTAACACTCATTGACCCAGCAGGAGATGACCATTTTCACTTTATAGCACGAAACTCATTTCACTTCGTTTAACTCGTATTGCTGCTTCTAATGTTCTGCCCTCAGCAATGGCGCCGGGTCGGCAAATGCCCGTATGTTGTGACGTCACGTGGGAACTATGTATATCTTAAATACACGGTTCAAAACAACAAGGTTACGACCCCTGATCAAGAGTACAATCCAAAGCACAAATGCATGTGTACAGAAAATGTTCAGATGAGGATCTTACATCGTTCTTCTACTCTCCTTAAAATGAAAGTCAGGCTGACGGGGGATACATGACATTCAGGAGTAACAACCAATGCGTGCTTGTGCGTCATAGTGACCCCCTTCTCTGATTAGGAGCTGTTTGCTGGGAGCCCCTGGACTCCCGGTACCTGTGATGATGATCTTGGGAATATCCAGAATGGTGCCATGTGATGCCGTTTTACGGTGACCTCGCTTATATTGTGGACGTGCTGCAAAAACACACATACAGACACGCGCATGTAGCGACGAACACAGGCATGCAGACAATGTGTGTACTGAGACAGAGAGAGGAGAAAGAGTGTGGTGCAGACATCAAAGCGGACTGGGTAAGGGACGTCACTCCAATCTTCAGCCGCATTAAGACATACATGCAACATATATACACACACATACAGACACGTACACGTAGCACATACATCCGTGCAGTGGCAGGAAGTCCGATGAACTAGTGACTGCAGAAGGACAGATCAAAGGAGGGATGGAGATGCCATGCAGCTCTTAGTGTCTGATGTGTGTTGTTTGGGGGCACTGACTGAGGTCAGCGGTACACTGGGTACTAGTGTACACACTATTCAGCCAGTGCAAGTACAGAAAAGTGAGGTCAATGTCTATAAATGGGACATTGTTAGTGGTGTATATTGTTTGTTAACATATCGACCTGAGGATACAATTGAAAATAGGAATGGAAAAGTGTGGAGTTTACAAATATATCAATATGCGTCTACTGCAAGAGAAAAAAAACTCCACGTTAAATAAGACCAAATGATGTATAGACTGAAAAATGTCATTGTATCGCAAGGAATTTCTGGGTAGGTATGAAACTTTGACAGGGGTTGAGGAAACATGTTACCTGCGGGAGCAAAGGGTAATCTGTGCTCCAGTTCGGAGAGATCGGCACTCATTCGTTTGCTGTCGGATGAAGCGAGACAATGTGACCGGCCAGAAAGACTCTCTACGCTGCTGCCTCTGGAGAGGGGGTGGCCGGGCCTTAAGGGGTCGCCCTGAAAGGCACACAAACACAAATTCTCTTGTGAGCTTTCTTAGAGGACACTGTGTTTGTGTGGTGGTTTAGACTGTTGATGTGTTACCTTTGGTTTATATGGGAACTTGATGGTATCGTTGCTGCCAGGGGAGTTGGTGTGCTCCATGTTGATGTCGTTCTTGTTGCTGGTACATGTATAATCTATATATGAGCCTAGATTAAAGAGATATGTCATTTTAATGTGAATTAAGAACACATTTCCACATACACAGCTGCTCAAAAGTTAGGGTTAGGTGCTCACCAAGGCTGGATTTGATCAAAACTACAGTAAAAACTATAATATTTTGAAATATTATTAACATTTAAAATATTTAAAATGTAATTAATTCCTGTAATGAAAGTCTTCAGTGTCACACAATCCTTCAGAAATCATTGTAATATGCTGATTTGCAACCTCACTGACCCTATACTTTTGAACAGTATTTAAATTGTCTGGAAGAATTTAATCTAAACCATTTGTTTCCCATCCACACCATAAGAAAATGATTTGAATAAAATAAAATGAACCAGCCCTGAACAAGTATTTATTACACAAGCCTATTTTGTTATTCCGTACCTGTGCTGGTGGCAGAGTTACTCTGGCCTTCATCTGAATACTGATATGGGTACTGAAGAGGCTCTTCTGATCCTGGGAAATACTAGAGGGAGGGAGAGAGGGATCAGACTGAAGAGGCAGATTTAGATGCAAAATAAGACAGCCAGGAACATTGGAATAATTTGCCAGGCATGCTGGCGGTGTGGCGTTACCCTCATGAGGTGGCTCATAATCTTCACTATCTCCTCCATGGAAGGCCGCTGCGATGGGTCTTTGGACCAGCAACGATTCATCAGACTCTCTATGGGCTTTGGTAAGTTCTTTATGAGAGGTGGTCGCGTGCCTACAGAAAGACAGATGACTGAAGCTTCTAATCTCGAACCTAGATGATCTCAGCAGATTCTCATCATGACAAGAAGTCTTGAATGGGGCACAAACAAGCGCACATAAAACTCACCGCGGTGCACAGCCCACATGATGCGGAAAGCAGGGCCACCAATTTCATCGAAGGGCTTCCGACGTGTGATCACCTCCCAGAGAATGATACCCCAACTGAACACGTCACACTTCTCACTGTAGTTACTGCCTGCAACACACATACAGAGAGTAATCACCTACATGTAACAATTTCCTGAATAAGGTCCACATTCTGGTTATATGATCCAAAGCTATTGTCACTACTAAACCACAAAATTCTTTGAATGTTTCTGTGAAAGAATTATTATAATTGTATTAAAGTTTTTATAATACTTAAGGAACGGCATTGACATGGATGTGTTAACTTGTAAATTACGCTACTATTCAAAGTTTGTTCAAATGAACACTTTTATTCAGCATGGGTGTCCATTCGATTACTCAAAGGTGACACAAAATACATTTATAATGTTACAAAAGATTAAAATTTCAAACAAATGCTGTTCTTTTGAAAATTGTATTCAAAGAATTCGAAAGAAATTGGACAGCACAACCATTTTCAACATTGACAATAATAAAAAGAAATGTTTCTTGACAGTTATGGTTAAATTATACAAAATAATTCTCAATACAAACACGCACTACCAGTTTACTGTACTTTTGATCAAATAAATGCAGCCTTATTGAGCATAAGACACTTAATTTTTGAATGGATGAGTGTAATATAAACTTCTAAACAATTGATGGACAGGACATAGCACTAAAACACAAAAAACAAATGTGGCCCAACTTAATTCTTCTAGTATAATTTAAGGAAACTATTTTTCAGCAATTATTTTGAATTATCTGTCCACAACACAATGTGTGCACCAATAACTAAAAATAAATATTTTATATAGTTTTCTTATATTGCTAGTTTTGTGTGGTGGATAAACAATAAAATTCCCTTATAAGTGACATATCAATTTTATATAATTATAGATATTAATACAATAAAATATAGACATAAATGAATTTGGTGAATAATTAATTCTTCTACGCTATGGTTGATATTTGCATCAAGATGCCCAAAATAACAACAGAGAAGCAAATGATACCACACACCATAAAAAAAAGAAAGCCAATTTCCCAAAATCTCATTTTCTGCCGTCCAAGGTTGCGGAGTCTCTATCTTGCCGCCCCTATTTTGAATAGATGAGCTAATTTACACTCATGCTGCCCTGGAGAGCCTTAATTGCTGCTCTTATTATTCTTAAATTACAGTGCCTCGCACCAGTATGTCTTTACGCTGCCTTGCTCTGGTCTTCTGATAATACTGTTGTCAGCGTGGCAAATGAGGAGCACGGCATCTCCTCTGCTGCCAGTGCAAGTGGAGTAATAACATGGGATTTCTGGTCCTCCCTAAACAAACAAGATAACAACCTGATCCTAATTGAGGTTTCCTCCGACTCCCCTGACAGCAAAGGGCCCCTGAATGTGTTTGGTAAAATTGAAACCCATTAGCTGTTGATTGCAAACGAATCCATTAAATTATAATGGTTTCATCCATCATATAGACCAGGAGCATCCAGTGACTTGTTTTAGGGAAATATTTGTAGTGAAGTGAAGTGGCAAATGAGAAGACAAGTAATAAGAAAGACTGGTAAAAAGGGTGAAAAGGAGAATTGGAAGTTAGCTTTGATCTTCTGATACAATCAAAAACAAGCCAATGATAGGCGAGTTACTGTTCAAACATGAACAAAAGCTCTTGGAAAGCTCCTGAAACTTGCCTTCAAACACCTCTGGGGCCATCCAGGCTGCGCTTCCCTTGTTGTTAGTCATGTGTGTCTGGATGTCACATGCTGTCCCGAAGTCACAGATCTTCAGTACAGTACCTCCAGCAACCAGAAGCAGACTATGAGGAAAATAAACATATACAAAAGAGTAAGTAAAACAAAGCAAATTCATTGTACAGAAAACATTTTTAGACATCATGAGAGTACAATGGCAAGATTGCATTACCTAATTAGTATTTAGTCAGTTTAGCATTCCCATTCATTGAAATGCCAGCTGCAATAAAGTGCACAACCTGATTACCTTACTAACATTTTATTGCACTTTAAATATTGTTGGCTTTTGTATTATAAATTGCTTGCGTTGTCCCTCATTTGTAAGTTGCTTTGAATAACTCATTAAATGTAATTTCATGTGACTAATTAGTTTGAAGCCACAGGAAAATGATTGCTTCGTGGCACCAAAACAACGTGTACATTCCAGACCCCATCCTGCTAGTGTATGCCAATTTAAAAGGTTGCATTCGGTTAGTCAGCAAGTAAATTCACAAGATTTTAGGACAGAGACAAAGCCATTTGGATTAAACAGAACATTCACACTACCATTCAAAATGTTGGAGATTTATGAAAATCTCTTACGCTCAACGAAAAACAGCAATATTGTGAAATATTTTTATGCAATTTTAATCGGACAATTTGACCGGAAATTTAATTTTGTCGGACATTACATTTTTCCCCCGGCAAGAATTCCATCATGAGAACATTAACAGAGCACACATTTTTAAAATACACTTCAGTTGGCAATATATTAAGCATACAGGTAGGTATACATAGATGGCAGTTAACCAGTTACCAACTGTGCTTTACTCCAATTAAACACAGTTAAAGCACTTGTGAACTGTTCATGGGGGTTAGATGCCAACTTTAGTGAGCTGTAATTTATCAAAAGTTAGTAACAACCCAGTTCTTCCAGAGAACTTAATTCTAGGTGTCTGGGAGAGAAGCCAGCAGACCATTTCCATGGTGTGCTGCCAGGGATTTTCACAAACAGTGCCTCATAAATAACCAGCCCTGGCCTGGACAACACCATATGCTGCCATGTTGTAAGTAATGCAGGGTAAGACTCCGAACATACGTCCTCCGACACCTGGGCTGAACAGCATTTATGAGCGATGGCAGTCCTGAATGATCCAGTAATGTTTCCACCATCATCAGTCAGAAAACAGCCAGCAGGTCTCCAGACTAACTTTTCCACTGGTTGCACTGGTGCTACCAACTTTCTCAGTTGGTCACACCAGCATATGATTTGGTTGCACCCTTTTTTTTTTTTTGCTACATGGCATGAGATTAATCAATGCATGCTGATGAATAGTGGTCTTAACCTGCATATCATAATTTTGCACTGATGTAAAAAAGACACTGACACAAGACCTCATGTTAGCTAAATGTTTTCATCTTTTAACTGTCAAATCAAAATATTCTCAACTAAAAATATGACTGTGAAAAATAGTATTTAATTAAACGCATTTGGTGAGATCACTACATTTTATTTAATTAAATGCATTTGTGATGAAATTAATTGTCATGTCAACATTGACATTCAAACAAATCTTGTTAAGTTTTCTGATTTTTTTTCTTTCGTTTGTACAAATTATTTATTGTTCTGAAAGCTTAAGTCCCTTTAAACAAAAATATACATATTTTGAGCACTTTTTTTTAAAAAAAAGCACTTTCTGATTTTTTGAAAGATTTTTTCCACTGTGAATTTGCACTGTCAGTTCTGCTTTTGAATAAAGGGTAGGAAATGAATGTTTTTTCTGTTTGTTTTCAGTTTTGTAAAATACAATTCATTGATTAATCAAAAAATAATCAACAGATTAATCGATAATTAAAATAATTGTTAAATTCTCATGGGGGTTCCAGTGACATGAGGCAAGACAGTGTGATGAGAGAAATGATAGAGGAGCATACTTGGGAGGTTTGAGGTCCCTGTGAATGAGAGCCTTTGGTTTCATTCCGTGGAGATACGAGACCCCCTGAGAACACTGCAGGCACCAGCTCATGGCATGAGATGCAGTGTAGTGAGGGAGCGGCTCTGCACCGTGCAACACTGTCAAAACAGAATACAGTCATAAATACAAGCAAACATGTAAGATCAATCATTTGCTCACTTGTTCAAAAGCTCATGTGCTTTGACACTGCATAGAACTTTAGCACTTGCTACTACTATAGGCCAGGGATACATTTTAAACCTTTTCTGAAATGCAAAGTTCCATGGAATCAAAGAATGTGTAAAACTGCATTGCAAAAAATACTGCACCAGACAAATCTGTTGTGATGCACTAAGCATGTATGCAAATTTGTATATATACACTGAAGAGTATTTTCACATTTCTGTAAATTAAGTCTACAACAGAACAAAGAAAATATCTGATTTGTCCAAGTACAACAACTGGAGGCAAAGTACTAAAATGACAAATTTAATTGTATTTAATTCCATTGTATAACTGCAAACCCAATGCCAGCCTTAAAAGTCCTCAAAACTTGTAGGCCAGACTTTTAACAGGCCAAAGTGATTGTTCAGAGTGTGGTTTGGCTTCACACCAGTAGTTTCAAAATAATTAAGTGAAAGATGTCTAGACCAGTGGCCTTTTCAAAAAGGTGTTGCAAAATTACTTACCATTATACAATGAACCCCCCTCTGCATATTCCATCACCAGACATACCTGCAGTAAGATCATTAACATTGTTACATGTTCTTTATCACAGGAACTAAAAAAAGGTTGGATCATAGCAACACATCTGAATTGAGTATCACAATCATGATCAAAAACCACTCAATACCAACATGTAGAGACTTACAGGGTTACTGCAGGAACCATACAGCTTCACAATGTTGGGATGATTTACACGAGACAACTGGCGAAGCTGGATAGAGAGAATGGAGAATTAGACCAAATTAATCAGTACATGCACGGTTTAGGTTTCTGATGACAGTAGTTACTAACGTAAACAAATTAAACAATATGACAGTACCTCAACAATGAAGGCATTTCTCTCTGATTCACTTTCAATAGTCTTGATGGCCACATCTCTGCCTTTCCACTTGGCCTTGCACACAACACCAAACGCCCCTCTGCCCACCACCTACAAAACACACATGTATGAGAACATTACACAGATTGAAGGTACACATTCACAAACTCACAGCACCGAAAAGTCTTCAAAACAAACCTAACATATAAAACTCAGAAACTTCAAAAATCACAGAGAACCACAACGAGAACAGTGAAAAAGTGTTTAAACACTCTGCATAAAACACACAGTGGCTTGACAAAACCAATGAAAAGGTTAAATAATGAAGTTAAAAATAGAGATTAAGTTAGGTGTAGTGTGATGTCAAGTGCCCCAGTTATAACAACGTTAACCATCTATCAAGGGAATGTTTCCAGGACATTTCCACACCACTATCAGCGTGTTAATTAACTTTATCACTTGCATATCATGTCACTCACCTCTTCCACCTCAATATCAGCATATTCTATCTCCTCAAAAGGGTACATAGGCGGTGTTTCCAGCATATCGGCGGAGGGCATTGACATCGCTAGCTCGCTAGCCAGCTAATCATTAAAAACACAAACAACTGATTTTACAGTCTTAAAACTTCACAACCGAACCGTTTCAGAATAAAAACGGTAACGTTAGCTGAAGCGTCACCCCTTCCTTCGACGCGGCCTGCATTACACAAATATAGGTATGTTAAATCACTTTAAAAACTTGTTTAGCGGCTAACGAGCTAACCAAAGTGTCAATCTAATCCGTTAGCCAGGCGGCTAAGAGGCTCCGATTAAAGTATGTCAGACATGCCAAACGACGGTAAATGTTGTCATTCAGATGGGGAATACGCCCAAGATTCTCTGAAAAGTGCAATTAAGGGTGTCCCATCGACATAAAAGCGCTGGCTGTGTGTTAGTTAGGCCGCTTGCTGGCTTGCGCTGGATCTCCCCTCCGCGCAGCGCTCACTCCACACCGACGCTGCCACTCCGCACATCGGCCTCTCTATGTGCCCGAAAATACCGCTCGATAAAACCCGCTTTACGTGTCCCGTTGACCAGGACAAAGCATCCGAGCCATCGGATGCGGGGCCAGAACTTTACAGCTCACTCCTCCATGGGCTCGTTTGTTTTTCTTGTTTTCTGTGGGGGTTGTTTAAGCACCAGGAAGTATGCGCTCTCTTGTATTGTGCCCCCTCTAGTCCATGCCAACTGAAATGTCTCCAAGATTGGAGTCAAGCAAGGCCTGCCAGAATCATTTCCAGTCGTTATGCAGTACGTAACAGGGGATTCGTAATTTTAATATCCTGATTGAGTTGCATCATTACTGCACCAGGTAGATAACTTTAGTTGCAGGGAGGCCAACCGAAAAGAAATACATGTCATCCTTATTTTTCTTTGAATAATGAAAAAATGTCTGTGTTTGGGTTAAACTGCTCCCATTTGCTAAAAAAAAAAAAAAATGTTTTTTTTTCTTTTCCTATCACTCATTTTTAGTAAACAATTTCAGGTATTTATTCACACAGTTTGGAATAAAAAATATTTATTATAAATATTGACAAGATTATTAAAAATATCTAGAATTCACAATCACATCAGTTAAGGAATGAATCAGCAATCAGGAAGAAGTCTGACTTAAATATTATCAGACGTTATGCATATCTAATGGTGTTCACACAAGTATGGCACAGCTTGAAACCTGTCAAACAGTCAATTTTGAAATTAGTCTCTTCCTTTTGTTAGGTCATAGTATTTTTGTTAATGACTTTATACAGTTTTGTCAACAACATTGTGAAGATCTCTCAATTCAGTATGTTATTGTTGATTCCTTGTATATCTGGGAACTATGTTTATACAAGTGTTGGTATAATAGTGTAAATTGTTGTCCCTTGTACTTAAACATGTCTAAAAATCCTTTGTGATCCCCACCTATGTAAGTGTATTTGATTTGTACAGTGTTGTGTTATCAAACCGATCAACAAATCAAAATTGCAGAACAACCTGGTCACATGCCCTCGGTGAGCTAAATATAATCCCAGAATTTCAACCATCATTTCATGACAGCTGAAAATGATCCCTATTCATCACTGGAAAGAAACACTGCTGGAAAAACATAAACAACATTCGTTCATATGCAAACAGGGTTACTGAGATGAAGTAACCTTTCCAGCGGTGCTCTGTCCTCTCCAGGGAACTGATGACATCATTTCCACTATGGGTTCCATGAAGTGAGTAATGGTGCAGGTCTGTCTCTTTTATTTAATTTAGATAGTACGGGCAGGAAGTGGAGGGGACCGGGCTAGTTGTCAAACGTTTTTCCATGTTGAATATTTCTCAGGGTATGTTTATTAATCAATTTCTCTATAGGCACATACAATGAAATAAATTCCATAGCCATTGCCAACATACCCCACTCCACGCCAAATGACGACCATTGCAAAATTTATGTGATTTATGTAATGTCAATTCAGCTCCATATTTTGAGAGAGGCTGCTCAAAGCCCTGGGTGGAGCGTGACGTCCAGATGTACTTTGGGTGTATTTGGTGTAGAGCAAGAAGCTCCAACAACACCCTAACCCTATAACGCTATCCCTCCACCTAATAGATCGACAGAGGTCACATGCGTTCAGAGAGGAGGAACTGGACGTAATTTGTCTCTGCAGCAAGCACCATTTGGATTTTGAGGGAGATCCTGCTTTTCAGCTGCTTGGTCTCAAAAATCTGCTTGTTATTTAGAAACTACAAAGCATTAGGCTATTAGAATGTGACAATGGACATCATGAACATTCAAACAATTTTAAACCGTTCAAGAAGACATGAAAAAAAAAAATTCAATTCAGTGAAAACTCAATACCCACCCAAGTTTTGCGTCTTACCACACTTAAATGGTCAAGTACACACAAAATTACATCAAAACTCCCATTTATCTTAACTGTGTTAAAATAAAAAAAAAAAAAATCAATGAAAGTAACATTTGGAAGAAATTTTCATGTGTGTCATATATCCATGTATTTGGTCTTAAAGTGACAATAGCTCAATATACCTGCTGCTGTCTTGTCATATAATGTTAATTAAAGAACAAAAGAAAAAAGAAAAACTCTGCTCAAGCCTGCTCTTGACAGAATAACTTATTTAGGATAAGTATATATTTATTTTTTTCACAGACAAGGCATGAGCCAATGCATGTTTTAACTGAAAGCAACTTGCAATATGTCCGTCCCATTGTTTAGTCTCAAGATGCACACCATTTCTTTTTTTTCTAAGGCATGTTTATAAAAGCTATTTATTTCTGTGTTTATTTGTTTGTTTGCGGGGACAGTGAAAGTTTTGGCGGGGCAAATAACCAGTAAACTCCTTAGTGTTGAGCCCTGGATGTTTATGTATTGAGTAAGGGTTAGTTCACCCAAAAATGAAAATTCTGTCAGTAATTACTCACCCTCATGTTTTTCCAACACCGTAAGACTTTCGTTCATTTTCGGAACACAAATTAAGATATTTTTGATGAGATCTTAGTGCTGGATCACTCCTAGGCTTCTAAGGGATCGAAACCTGCCGGCCCAGAAAAGTTAGTAAAGACATTGTTAAATAGTCCCAGTGACTACAGTGGCTCAAACATAAATTTATCAAGCAACGAGAATACTTTTTGTGCGCAGTTCAACTATTTCCTTCTTTGTGGGCCTGAGTGAATTCACGTCGTGTAACAGCGCAGCATTTCTGAGTTGTGAGTGATGCGTGGTGATGTACAACTGGTACAATTTTTTCAATTAGCAGAAATGTTTTTAATAGTTTTAGTTAACGATAATAGTGCTGCTTGTGACATCTAGTCTCAGCTTCTCCAACTAATAATCTTCACACTTCCTTTCAAGGCCTTTCTTTCTTCAAAATTTTTAGAGGAATTAAAACTTAACCAGTTCAAAAAACAAAAAATGCTTTTCAGTAATGATGTAGGACTGTCTTTTTTACTTCATTTTAGTACTACTGGCAGGAAGAGGGATAGATCCCATTCCCGTATAGTTATCAATACGGTAATACAGTGAACGTGATTTCACCAGGTAACATCTTTGTTGACCCTGGATCAACTTTCCAATCAACCAATAATATTTGAGGGACAAGTTTACAGTTTATGTCAAGTTTAGGCTTAGAACCAGGGTGAAATACTTAAACGTCAGTGTTATTCACCTATCATTACCCTCTGATTTTAGGGAAAAGTTATGGGTAGGGATTGGGTGAGGACTACATTTTGGGACAGGAATGTTGATCCAGGACCATGTATTTATTGGCAAAATCACGGTGACCAATGCGGAAAGAAATAATGATACAGTTTTTTGTAATGGCTTTTCAACATATAGTTTATACAACAATTAAAGACAAAACGAGTAAACAAACAGCAAAACATATTTATTAAATTAAACAAAGAATTGTAAAATTTGAGTTTCGACTCAAAACCTTTGAGTTCCTCAGATATAGCACATTTTAACTATCATCAATATGAATATTTTTGGTCTTAAGAATACAAAGCGTAGCTAAATAGAAAATAGATTTTTCAGTTCTTGAATATGATGCAGTGAAGTGATAGTAATTAAGCTGAGCAGATATATTGAATTGTGTCCACACAGGTACCATTTATATCCCCATGTAATAATTAGGCTTAATGATAAAGCCAAATGGCTCATTAGAATGCTCATCCACGACCGTCTGAGACAAAGTACAAGGGTAGGCATATGGTGTGGGATCTGGCTCTGAACAGATGATATTTGCTTACCTTGTGTTGCTAGGTTGTCTTCATCCAGAATGCCCTTAGACACACAACATTTCCCTTGTCTGCTTGTTATTTTATAAGTCGTGGGAACAGGCATCATTCTGTCTAACAAGAACCTTAGTGAGAGTTCATGTGTGCACTTTGCCATCAACACAGCCACAATCCGCGACTATTTTGAGCTTTAATTAGTGCTGCTAACTCTAGAAGGTGGTTTCTTTGAAGGACCAATAAAGAGGATTGAAAAGCAATCTCATTTACTTTGTTGTTGTACCACGTGGTGGCACTAGTGCTCTATCTCGTTCGCATCAGCAGGAAGCGCTCCATTACCATCACTATGATAAAGTGTTGAAGCAGCCACAGAACACATCGTAGGTACATATGCATGCATTGCTGCGATACAATTAAAATAAATTCATTAATTTCCTTATTCCAGTATCAGCACTCTGTTGAAGTGGAAATAATCGTTTGCCTTTTTAAGTTGATTGATTGCATAATGTTTCTGCAGCTGACAAACATTTGTCTTTCGTTTATGGCTTTTTAGATGATGCAAGCTCTTAAGCTTGGCATTATGAATATCCATGACCATGTCCCAAATAAGACAAACAATGTTTAATTGGAGTAGGAAGAGTGTGTATGCGTGTGGGGTAGGGGTGTGAGAAAAGGCTGTTCTTTGTAAATATTCATGCAGATCATTTTGTGTAAGTAGAACAATTCCCTCTGCTGCAGCCAGACAAGCAAAACAGAGAGAGCACCGGGGGACTGTGTGCAGTCATTTTGTTAAAGAATTTTAACTCTGTCTAAATGCTCCATTCATTTGCTCTGGATTTATGTGACACTTAAAATAAATCAGCTGAAGAATAAACCCAACAAGCTGATTAGTACTAGTCTACTGCTGCTGTAACAGTGAGCACCCACATAAAAGAGCCCCGCGAGCGAGTGCGGTTGCTGCAATGTACATATTTTGTACAGCATAAGCTTAGAGCAAAATAAACACACTTTATCTGTAGTTTAGAATGACATGCATAAGGCTTTTCTTTCTTTCTTTCTTTTTTTTTTTTTACCAGAAATGTTATAAACAAATATTTCTTTATTAAATATTTCTCCTTTTTTTGGTGAATGTTGTTTTTTTATTTTGAAATATTGTATATAATTTGTGAGAGTGTTTTACCGCGAAGATAGTTATAAGTTTTGGACCAAATCAGTTGAACAAAACACTTTTAAAAAGAAATATTCTTGCTCAACTAAAACACAAAAAGTGAACTTTGTGTTTTAGTTGAGCAAGAATGTTTCTTTTTACCTTGAACAAATCAGTTGAGTGAATGATTCACTCATTCGTAAATGCATTTTATCTGTACTACATAGTACAAAATCAGAATGTGATTA